GCAGTCTATGCCCATGCTTCTATACTTCTGTCGATTTCAAGTATATCGTGTTTTTTGTTATGTTTTCGCATTTACACTTTACAGCCTTACAACCGCAGTTGGTCTTCCGATAAGAATTTAAAAAATTACAGTTTTATTATTTTATATAATTATAAATTTATTTTTTGCCACGAAAATATTATTTAATATTACAATGTAGATTTATTTTTATAGTTAGTATTGGAATTAAAAAGTTTTCTGCTTATAGAAAAATAATAGAGAGGTTTTTTATAGATTTGATATAATTATTAAGTTTAGCCTACACTGTATAGACCTGTGTTAGTACCTATTTTTGTTTTGTGAGAAGAGTGTATTTGTGTATAATGTCATGTTTGAATATAGGGATTTACTGTGAGATTTAATTGGTTCTTGGCGATTATTTAAATTTGTGCTGAATAAATTTGGATATTTATTAGAATTATAAATTTAATCTAGTTAGTATTTTAAATTTTGAGTGATACCGAGAATATATTAATTTTAATTTTATAAAAATTTATGTTTTTTTTTTTTTAAATTATTTTGAAAAATTAATACAAAATCTCTTAAAAGTTATTATAACTAGAATTAAAATTTAAAAAAGGTGATAATAATTACTCACCATAAATATTTGTTATGAGCGTCTGAAATTTAAAGTTTGTTAAAATTTAATAAATACGTATAACATAATTTTTTCTGATCAAACGATTTAATTTTTCTCTTTGTAATTCAAAAAGTATCAATCGCAGAAGCTTAAAAAATTCCATATGAATTATCATTTTTATACTAAATAAATTTTCAAAATATTTAGACTAATTTTAAGCTATCTATTGTCTCTTTATAACATGAACTATTAACTACCGTTCTATGGTAAGTTAATAATTGAGTTGACTCGAAACTTAATTACATTAATATATTATATAAATACAATATATATAATTACATAATTATTAAATATTAATAATATAATAAATGCGATATTTTCGCCAGTAATTAATTTAACCTACTATATTACTACAGTAAAATAAATTACTATAGTATCAATATATTATAAATCATTGAATATACTAACTAGTATAGGTTGGTAGACTATTTTTATGAAACAGTCAGATACGGTTTTTTTGAATTCAATGATTTATCATTGAAAATTTAATAGTTAACACAACCATTGATCATTACACTATTACAGTGATTTATTCAATTACGAGGTACTCTACACTTATTGTATAGCAGAGCGGTTATCTATTTGTCCTCTATTTGTTGATTTTTAAACGTTTAAGTGGTAAATTTCTCTCATAAATATAATTATACTAAACTTATCTTTGACACAAATAAAAAATATCGTTGCGAAATACTAGCTTTTGAAATAATAATAGCAAAGCAAGCAGTTTTATATTATATAGGTATTATAGAATATAAAATTTATTGAAAATAATCTTATTAAATAAATTATTATACCTGAACACAATTAAAATCAAAATTACTACAACCCTGGTTTTATAATTTAAATCTTTCTAAGAAATTCATAGCATAATTCACCCATATCTCTGATTTAGACATACTTCATTACTTTCCTTCTATTTATTAAAACTTTCATTGAATGACTCTCACTAGTTTCACCTTTACACATTCCATAACGATTAGTGACATTTCTTACCTTATTCTCAACTACTCTACAATGTATCATACGGCGCACTTACTTTTTGACTTTTTTTAAAATCTTCTAACGTCCCTTTCAATATTAAAATATATTATCATTTTAATAAAAAAATTTACTTGCTATACTAACTTAATGTATCTATGTATAAATTAACTTGGCCGACTAATGATTAATAATTTTTTTTTTTGTGTGTGTGTTTGTTGTTTCTTTCTTTTTGTACATAATAGTAATTTCCAACTTATTTTTAATACAATATCTTAATTGTCGAAACTAATTTTAACACTAAATGAAAATAGTTTAAAAAAATAAAATAAGTCAAATTGTAAAAATTGTTTACTAGTTATCTTGCTATTAATTTTTTTTTAGTTTCGAAATTATTATTTTTTATCTGAATTTTTTGTTTATTTTTAATTAATTCATGATCTATTTTTCTAATGATCTCAGGTGGTAACACTACTTTTTCTTTATCAACCTTTACTACTTCATGGAGTTAAATGATTTGCCTCTAAAAGGTTGAAATTTAGTAACTGCAAATTATCCTAGTTAGAATGTTTATTTTATAATTTTTCTTAGTGTAATTTATGGTTAATAATAGTGTATGTAATTTTCATTTTATGGACTTTTCATCTAAGATTTAGAAAATTTATAGTGGATAATATATTTTATATGATATATTATATCAACAGTATTAAAGTGTCTTATTCATTGAATTGAATGCATGTTTTAAAATCGGAAAAATAGGATAGCAATAAATAATATTTATATATCTATTTAAAAAAAATATATACTTACATATTAAACTTAAATCTAATACTGTATATTATTAGAATTTTCTAAATAAATAAACATTTTAAATCGTCCAGGAATCTAATTATACATCTAAATAAATGCATTTAAATATTGACTTTTAAACTTTGATATTTATGTATAAAGTTATTCTTGAATCGTTTCGTTTGTGATTTGACATTCAACTTAACAGTCGATTTTCTTGTCATCTCCCGAAGGATTTTCACTAGAGCATGACTCTTCAGCCTTTGTAAAAGCTATCTAGTGATTGGGTTTTACTGTAAGTGTATAGTACAGTCGATACAGATGACTAACACATTGATGCATTAAACACATTTACACAGTTAAACGATTGGATTTGAGACGACTTCGACATCAAAAGTTATCAGAAACATTTTCAAATGGGAATATCATGTATTGTTAAATGTCTGCTTGTGTTTATCAATAACCGCAGTTCAATTTAAATATCTCAAAAATATTCATTTATCCATACATGTAAATTGTTTAAAATGTAAATACTTTAGTTATATAATTTTAAAAGCATATTTTATGAAACTTGAAAGGGTAAAATTTGTAATATCACGTATATAAAATAAATAAGATAAGAGAAAATATGATGAAAATCACATTTGATATTGGTGTTAAAGTAAAATAAGTTCTCATTATAATGAAAAATTTAAAAACAGTGCCATTGTGGTTACTATTTTTTTGTTTTGATAAAGATTTTGAATTACTGCATTATTGAAGAAAAAATGGATGAACATGCTTGGTGAATTATCTTGTATACATTTGTAGTAAAGATATTTCAATTGAATGATTTAATTTTATTTTACTAGTTTACTGACTTACTGTATACGTATAAAACCATTTAGAAATAATTCATCAAGTGGAAACTTACTCGTTATTTACCATTTCAGTCATAAATGGAACATTAATCTATAGGTTTTCATTCATTTTCATGTTAGATATGACTATATTTTATTCAATAAATGACATTCGTTTTTGATTTATGTTTGAACTATTCGATTCAATTTCTGACCATTTTTACCTTCTATTTAAAATTTTTACTCAATAAATTCATCGTTTTAAATTACAAACATCATTATGTTCTTAGTATTTAAATATTAACCATGACAATTAAAATGCTATAAAAAGATTTTTTTACGAAAATAAAATTATGTAATAACACTTTTTTAATCAAATATACATAAGTACTATTATATCAGTAGGTATCTTATGCTTATACAAGAATTTAGAATTGAAAATCGGGGTATTGGATATATTATAATAATAAAAGAATTGAATTTAACTATCACTAAGCTTAAGGTATCTTAAAAAAAAAAAATCGCCACAAAGAAACGTTTGAATTTTTGTTTATTTTCACGTACTAATTTTAGATTTTATACAACTAACATAATTAACTAAAATATGTTTCTGTAATCATAATATAATACTTAAAACATAAAGAGAACTAAATTTTGATTGTAAATTAATCATCAGATAACATTAAGTTAAATATTTTTATTTGTTAGTTGTTGGTTAATATTATTATAGTAGTTATTTAAATACTCTAAAAAATATTTTTAAAAAAATAGTTAATTAATTTTCAGTATATATGTGATATGTAAAATAAATAAAAAATTTGTATTAATTATTGTTAATATCATTTCGAAGTTGTAAAAACATGAATAAAACTTATCATAAGTATGAAAAATAATTTATTTATATCTATATATTATGTGTAAAAACATACTAAAAACAATATTTATACATATCCATATTTTTTTTTTAAATTTAATATGTATAATAGTAAATAAAAAAAATATGGTACTAGGTTAGTTTTAATAATACCGATTTTTCTGTTTGCACTAAGTGCTAGATAAAACTAATTTTAACTATTGTTTTAGAGAACTTAATGTTTAAATTTGAATTTTATTACAGAATAGATTCAAAAGAAATGTTATCTCTCAAAAAATCAAATTTTTTTTACTTATTTATGGAATAAATTCTAATAGTTTAAAGAAAAGAATTATTGAGATTGATATTCGGTAATTTTATATCATTGATAACAATGATATTAATTCACATTCAAATAACAATTTCTTTGCAATAAAACTTAATTACTACGTGAATAACTTAACATTCTTTTTGTAAAATAATATCTTAAAAAAATAATAGTTACGCTACATTCTAGATAGGTGTTTAACATGGTTTTAATTTTTTTTAGGTATACTTAATCCTTGCATATATACATATAATATGATTAATATTGATAATATAAATAAAATTGTGGTTTCGTTTTAAAATAATAATAATTTTAGCCTTGTTGTGATTCTTATTGCAATATAATTTTGAAAACTTTTGTATAAAATGGGGGTGGTCACTGGCACTGTGGCATGACAGTTTTACATCGGGGTGGGGTAGACAATCGTCCGGTAGCGGCGCGCCGACAGCGAGCGTTTTCCAATGAGTCGCCCGCCAAACGTTAGCCTATACGCGCTGTGATCCTAAACGATGACGACGAGACGATCATGAGCTTATTACGCGGTGACTGTTGTTGAGAACGTTTTACTTAACGAATTAAATAATGGCTAATCCGGCTTAAACATTGAATACGTTCGCCAAAGAAACGAATGAAGGTAAGTGTTATGTTTCAGGATGTTATTTAATATTTTGCTTACAAAAATACTAATTATTGATGTATTATAGAACATAAAACAATATTTATTTCTTGATAATATTTAAAAACATTTTTTTTTTTTTTTTAAAGTATAATAATTTTTTGTAAAATTAATAAGTTAAATAATTAAACAAATAATTATACGAAGTCGTTTATTAATATTTATTTTTAGATATAGATGATGAGATTAGAATTGAAATATTAACATTTACTTTGTATGAGAGTTGAACTTTATGTTTATTTCAATTTATTTATTTTCATTAATTTTTATACTTAGCTTTAACTTTTAAGATTGATTTTGCATAATTCAGTAATGCATTTTTTATATCTTTTGGAGTTATATTTATATTTGTTTGTACAGTATGTTAAATTGCTGGCATATGCAACTGACAAATAATTAAATTTTCATGTATAATTTATATTTTTGAATTTTTAATATTTTTTTTATTACTTATATAAAAGTAAAAAAAAGATGGTTATAAATAAAATGAAAATAAATTTGAACTATAGATATATAATTCAATAAAGGAATAAAATAATATTACGTAAATATACATATTATATTATTCCAATAAGAAATATGCATATATATATATATATTACATTATTATATGAGTTTCTTATAATATATTTTTTAAATTTTTTGTATGAATTACATATTTCTATTGCAATAACTAATAAGACATATACTTTCCGGTTTGTTATTTAATTTTAAGTCAATATAAGTCATTAGGGCTGGAATAATACCGTGATCAATAATAGAAGTTGTATTGTTTACATTCAATGAGAAAGGCCATAGGCGATGTCCGGTCTGTGAATTAATATAACGCTATGTCAATATAACTAAGATTTTCACAGTTGGAAAAAACAGACAATACACTTCGCTCACTCAATGGTTTAACCACAGTTACATAATATTAAATAGTGAAAAAAAAATGAGTCTTGCTTTTAGTTGAAGTCTATTGATCAGGTAATTGTAGGTCAAAAATTGAAATTGGATTTGAGGACAGCAGTTTATTTCGATGTCAAATCGACTAATTCTATGGTATATATTACACGCTTTATAAAAGGTGTCGATGGAATGGAATGCACCAGATGCTACATCAAGAAAGCTATATATACTAGTATTAATAATTCACTGATGATTCTTTCGAGTATTAATTGCTATTTCCTCTCTTTATCAATTTTGATCGTAATTTGTATGTATCAGGTGATTGTCAATTCTCCGATGAGTTATTTTTATTAGTTATTTATCAATTCATATAGTTTAACTGTAGTGTAATTATTTTTCTGATACGTCATCTGCATACGGTAATCAAATAATATTCCATTTAAATTTTTTCTATTATATAGATAAAACTCAAAAAATAAATAACTGATTAATTTTTTAAATTAGTTAATAAATTTGGTCACCCGATAATGGATTTTAAATCTTGAACTATTTGTATGTCATATAGTAACATATGTACTGTTATTATCGCAGTTAGTTCTATTAAATTGTTATTGTATCTACTGCCTAGCAGCTTATTGGTTTTCATTATTTTTATTCAGTAGTTTTATTATTGTGGTTTTTCATCTCACTATTCGGTCAAAAATCTAACAACACGGTTTTTATAGTTTTGGTTTTTATGCCACTTTTAGAAAATTTGTTTTTTAAGTAGTCATGATAAAAATATATTAAAATTGCTTTAAAAATGAGTGCTTAAAATAGAATGTTTTCAAATTTTAATTCCATCAATTTCAGTATATTATGATTGTTCTTCGTAAATGATGTGAATAATTTGCGACTTAACACTTCTATAGATATATTATGATATCATTATATCACACATATAATATAACACATCATGCACCAGTACATAATTATATGGTTACTGCTTAGTTAGATTAACAATAGGTATCTGTCTATGTAATATATACTATTTGTATTTTTTCAACCAATATAATTTCTTTTTAATTTTGATTTACATACCAACTATGAACTATATAGAAGTTATTCTTGAAATATATATGATTAATAATGTTTGTTAAATAATTAATTGAAATGAAGATACATACTATTCAGTTAATTAAATTACATTTTAATTATTATTGGATATTTAGTTAACTCATTTTAATTACGATTGATTTATTTAATTATTTCAAAATTACTGGTTATGTAAACTTATGTATGCACCTTACGCAGATTTTAAAACATTTTTTATTTAATTCGTATCATACATTTTTTAAATTATTTTTGAAGCTATTATCGTAATAATAATAGATATTTCATTTATTTTAATTTGTAAATATATTTTATTTTGTTTGTAAATATGATATTCAATGATGTACAATATATGCCATGTTCATTTTGTTTTTGCATGGTTACATTTTTATGTTTTCTCGAGTTATTAGAGCCAAAAGGTTAATGTTAAAAGTACTTACAAACTGTAAAGTGTAAGGTATGAGTTAGTTTACGATTTAGTAATTTTTTTTAAATATCGTTCATCATGTAAAAAATATTAAAATAGAAATTGTTTTATTTTCATAAAATGATGAGGCCAATATATAAATATATAAGTATATAATACCTATATAAATTTGTACTTTTTAAAAGTTTTTTTTTTATTTATAACATTTTAATAAATATTTATATTTGAGTTACTTATTGTAAAGTATAATTGATAAACGTTAGAGATTTAATGGCATAGTATTGGTTAGTCGCAATTTAAGTAGCTATTCCACAGTATAAGAATTATAAATACTCAATACTTTAAAATTAAAAAAAAAAGATTAGGTTAGATTTGAAATCACTAGAAATATAAAGTAGTTTTTAGTAGTAAGTTATAGGTACCTATACTTATAAATATAGTTATATTAAAATTTAAAATAGAAATAAAAAAATAAAAATAGATACTGTTAATAGGCAAAGTTTTATAAATATAAAATGTTATAATAGGTAAATATTCAATTTACATATTTATGCAGGGACTCTCTAAACAAATTTATATTTAACAGTACTTAAACATTTATAGCAGAACAAAACAAAGAACTCATATTATTATTAAATTTAAGTTTTACAAAATTGAAACATTTTACTATAATATATTTATATTTCATTAAAATAATTATTTCTGTCGAATTACTTTTACAAAAAAGTGTATTTATTTAATGATAAAATTAATTTAAATTTTATATAGAGCGATTTTAAAATCTAATAATTATGTATCTATAGATGGAATTTATTATAATTGTATAATATTTAACTTATAAAATAATATAAATGTAGGTAATATTTCTATATTAGAGCAAGTAATGTAAAAAAAAAATGATAAATGCAGGAAAAAATGAAAACAGTAACCGTGGGTAATTGCAACGTTGGTCAAAAAATACCTAAAATTAAACTATCAATAAAAAAAAATGTATTTAATCTATTAGTTTTACTATTTTATACAGTGATATAATAAAGAATGTAGAACATTGAATAAGTTCATTTATTGCGTGATGGCTTTCGAAGTATTTCATGTTATACTTTAAAAAGTTTTGTTAAAATGTTACCATGACACATATTATTGAAATAAATTGTATGATATTTTTATACTTTTTTGTTTCATAAATATTCAATGTGTAATATATGTCTATGTAATTATAAACATTTTATATTTTATATTATATATTATATATATATTCTAATTAAAATGCAAGTTTAACTAAACTTAAATAAATATAACAAATAGAATTCAAAGCTAAAAATATCTAGGTATATTATATTTTTAAGTATAAAATATTTAACAAAGATCATGGGTTTAGTAAAAATTATTATTAATGATATCATAAACATCATTTTAAAAAAGGTAGGCAATTTCGTATTACTCTGTCGTTTTTAGTTTAGTGGGTCATTGATATGAACATGTTACATTTGGATTCAATGAATAATAATATATACTCGTAATTGTATACAAATAACGAAAAACTATTCTAAGCGTATATTACTAAATATATTCTATGATACGTTTTTGATACAGTTATTTTAATATTTTACTTTACTATTAGTATTACACTAGATTGATTATTTTTTATTAAAATCATTGTATTTACTATATTATTAGTAATTAATGATTACAATAGTATATATTATAAACTTTCAAGTCAATACCGATTTACAGTAAAACGATGTAAATGTAAGTTCGTAGTATAAATATAAAATACTTTAAAATGTATATCCATGTTTTAAATATGTTATTGCATATAGTAAAATTCATAATATACGTAAAAAGCGATGACTTTATAATAATATTTTAAAATTATTTTTGAGTTATAACAAAAAAATTAACATCATTATTTATTGTTAAAATGTTTAATTTTGTTCAAATTTGAACTTCAAATATTTATGAAAAATAATTGTGTTTGTATATTTTTAGATTTTATAGTTTTATTATGAAATACTCATGAAGAAAATTGTATCAGATTTTCAAAAATTTTAAGCTAACAATTTTTTATAATCATTTATAAAAAAAAAAATAATTAAAAAAATTATAAATTTCAAATGTCTATACGTATAAATAGTTTAAAACTAGTTTAAGTATTTTTGAAACTTTATTATTTAAATTTCAAATACTTCCGATTGTTCATTTTTAAATTATAACCTTGAAATAAAATGAATATGTTAAATACTGGTTTTGCGTAAAAATACCCGTTCTTCTTTAATTTGTTTTGTTTTTCTGGTTATTTAAAAAAAATTAAATAACTTTTTACTATTAGCCCCTTCCCATAAGTATTAAATTACATTTATCAAAGATATTCCCCAAAGTTTAAAATCGAAGCATTTTACTGTCCCGAAAAGCGATGATAAACAAAAAAAAAAAAACCACTATAAAATCATCGCTTTGCTTAGAAACTAATAATATAAAAAAACTTATTATAAATACAATGAAAATAAATTGATAACATATTGATACGATAATATTTTATAATGAGTGCTTTTAATTGCCATGATAGTATAACCCAGCAATTCAAATCGGAAAACGTCAATTCAAGTATATTAGTAATAAATAATATATTCTATTTTAAAAAATTTTTGTAAAAATAAAAACTATTTTAATATTGTTTGGTTAGAAAGTTTTTTCAATAAATAATATTTATGCAAACTTTTATAATTTTAAAAATTTTTGTACAAAAGTTTGTTTATAGTTGGGATTATTTAAATTATAAATTTTAAATTTGTTTATTAATTACATATATTTTGAAAATAGTCAATAATTATTTACTTTTAAAATTGTTTCAGTTAAATTTCAAAATTAAGCAAACTTAAACAATTTTAAACAGTACTGTAAAAATTCTGTTTTTAAAATTTCCATTTTCAGGTTTATAATTTCTCAAAAACTACACTATTTCTGATATTTTAATATATATACACACTATAAATTTTAATAATGTATTAGTAAATACAAATTTGCATTTAAATTATATTAAATAATTTGCATTTAAATTATATTAAATAATTGTAGGAAAATTCTATTAATTTAAATCGTATTTATACCTAATCTAATCTATTGAAGAAAAACGCTAAAAAGAGAATTAATCTTTTTTCATTTTGAGAGTTTAATAACATTTTTAATACTTTTCAAATATTTAATTATTAACATGTATACGAGAGTAGAATAATTAGCTCTGTTACGAGGATGATAATAAATTATATTACCTATAAATCGAATTTCATATAGGTTACATAGGTTCTACATAGGTATCTAACCTAGGCAGTTGGAGATTTCCATACTTTGATCTGCGTCGTGTTTCTCCTACGAACGGCTTCTTGTATATTATCCGTTGGGAATGGGATGTAAAAATATTTATAAAAAATAAAACTTGAATAAAAGGCTGTTTATGCAAACGATGCATCCCATCTCTGTATTGGTTTTATAATTTCGTGCACGATAACACGGTCACAGACGTCAATATAATAATAATAATGTTATACATAGTTCGATGTATGTGTACATGTATATTATTATATAGGTACCTATGGCAGAGCTTCGTTTACGCCACAGTGCTGCACTCTATACACACACATGCATACACACACACACACACACACACACACACACACACACACACACACACA